TAGAAACGTGTAAACCTACATTTATTCAAACGAGTTCGCGAACAAGCATAATCGGACAATGGGAACAGGGGTTTATGGGGTAAAAATTGGTTTCACCTATTTTTTATTCTCAAAACAAAAAGTTTGCAATTTATTTTTTAACCGTTTTGTAGAGCTATGCCTAACGGTCACGGAAAAAATTCAAAAATATTTTAATTTAAAATTCCCTTGTTATTCTAATGGAGAAAATTAAAACTGTTGTAGTTTACTTGTTTTGTTTGTAGATATATGTTGATAAAATTTGGCTAATTTATTTATTTCATCTTATACTATTGACGCATGGTCAAAAAACACTTTTTACCTTCCCCGTAGCAGCAAATCTAGTAGGGTGAAAACCTAAAGGGTAGGTAAGGTGTAGGTGTTTACATATTTCCAGCATGAAGAGCCATTTTGAACAATATTTTTGAAGATTTTCAATGTTTTTTTTGTGTGTCTGATTAACATGGATATGGATATGTCACTGAAAGAGCCACCCTGGAAAATATACCACACAAACTGACCTTGTGAAAATAGGGTCAGGAAAATAAAAACCTGTCATTGTTAGTGTCAGCCCGGTTTTCTGGCTAGTCAAACTAGCCTATAACTGAATAAGTTACACTCACTTACCATGGTTGGAATATACAGGCAAATCTCAATCATTCTTAATACTTATTTTAATAGACATCTCTTGTGTTTGCATTGAACAGTGTGGCAGAACAAAAACAAATGCAAACATCTATAATGAGAATCATAATAATAATATTACTAGTGTACCTGTTGCTCGAATTCGAGCAATTGCGGAGCATTGCAGGCGACTCAAAGATTATGGAAATACTTACGATCTACACAACAGTTAGATATCAAAATCTTTTGTAAATATCTTGTCTTTTTTCAAAAAGCTGATCTTGTTTTTTTTAATGTTTTTATTGTAAAAAAATATTTCTATTTCTTTTACCTGGATGTGTTCTATGACTTTTTCTATGTTTCCATTGTTTGCAAATCGGTTACCTATATCAATGATTGCTCAAGAAATGTAGCACAGTGTTAATTCAGTTTTATTTTTAGCCTATATCAAATTGTCCAGGATTTCTCGCTCTTTTCCGTTGTAATAATTACACCAATCGAAGTTTCGTCTACAGATGCAATAGCCAAAGAATATCACCTAGGTACGTACAATCTCCAAGAAGTGGTAAAAAAGGGAGAAACCAACCCATACAATAGATATAAGTTAACTCCATAAGATTAGGATTTTCCACTGATTTGGTAATAGAACATTATATTGCAAAACATGACACGATGCAGAAGAAAATCAATTTTAAAATCAGAAAAATCCATTACAAATGCTGTACTTTATTTTGACAAATTCAATAAATCACAATTTAAATATTAACAGCTGTTGCATTAAAAATGCATATGGTCGTAATGTAAACAAATCTGAAGAGGGAACTTTAAAGGCCTCTGGGGCAGAGCCCCAAGGGAATTTACCTTGTTTCTCTTTTGATGGCTCATCTACAGACCAAGACCTTTCTTTAGACACCCCTACCGATTTTCTACGCCCAGCCGTTCTCTCAAAATAGCTGTCACAAAGAAAAACAGTTTCAAATTAATATATAGATTACTAGCTGTTGTACCCGTGCTTTGCAACGGGAAGAGAACACGAAATAGAAACATTTTGATCTTTACATCGCTGTTGATAAAATAGTTACATATAAGCCTTTTAAAAACAAAATTTTACCTTTATGGCCTTAATAGGATAGCTGTTGTAATAAATGTAAAAAAATAATAGTACTGTACCCTGTTGGTAAACCTTGTAACTTTTTAATGCTATTCAATATCATAGAACCAAATTGTGAGTTGAAACAGCTGACAAAATTCTTTTATTCCTTTTAAATACGATTACTCATAAGGTTAACATGGGAAACTCCAGAGCCACTGGGGCGGAGCCCGAAAGGACTTTTAAGATGCGTCTGTATGTTAATCGGGAATGTGAGCTATCATCATACCAAATGTCAGCCCAATCCGACCAGTATTTTTCGCGTTTACTTGTCACAAACATACATCCATCCATCCATCCATACATCCAAACTTTCTCATTTATAATATTAGTAGGATTAATTCAGTAATAGAGTGTTGTATTAAGTCTGTTCTTTTTATCATGTGTTTAAATATGTTTGTTGTCAGATGTTTTTGTAAACATTAGTTTAGTTTGAAAATAGAGTTTGTTCAAGCAAGATGTGTGAATAATATTTCTTGTATAAGAAATAGAACATGGTGGCAGCTTAGTGGATTTTTATCGAACAAAGTCTAAAACCACGCATGATGTCAAGTAAGGGCAGAAAAAAACGAAATACTCGTAGGCAAAGGTATGAGGACAATGAGGAGGATGCCCAAAGTGAATTCAACTACATGTCAGAAAGGGATTCTAGAAAGACTGAAGGTGAGTCACTAGGTTTTGCATTGGGACAGACAAACCGAGAAAATAATGCAGTAATGTGTACTCCTACTCCTATGATAAATCTGACGTTACCAACTCCAGATACCTTCTCTTTTACTCCGAATGAGTGGCATTCCTGGAGGAATCGCTTTCAAAGGTACAGACGGGGGTGCGGTCTAGATAGCACTTCCGACGCTCGGCAAATCGATGTACTTTTGTTTACAATGGGTAGTAGGAGTGAAGATATTTTTGATTCGTTTTCACCAAAACCGAATACTTATGACGAGGCTCTTCGGGCCTTTGATGCATACTTTGTGCCAAGACGAAATATCATTTTAAGAGAACAAAATTTCTGAGACACAAGCAAGGGAGTGATCCATCTGAAAAATTCATAACAGATTTGCATGGTCTTGCAAAAACGTGTGCATGGGGTGAACTGAACGATGAGATGGTGCTTCTGGTCCTCATTATTGGTATGAAAGATGAGGCTCTAAGTGATAGACTCCAGCTGGACTCTCAATTGACTCTGGAGAAGGTGATTAATACCTTGCGCCAACACGAGGAGCTAGAACGCCAAAAACGTGAGCTCGCCAATACTAATGTTTTTATGGTGAATCAAACGTCAATACAAGTCGGTAAAACAAATCTGTCTGAAAGAGCTGGTGAACAGAAATTCACCGAGGATGCTATGAGAAAAAAGTGCAGGAAATGTGGTTATAATTGGCACGGATCACTGGCCGAATGCCCTGCTAGGAAAGCCAAATGTGACAAATGTTCCGAGATTGGACATTTTTTTCGATGTTGTCCCTCCCGCGAAAAGTGGATGAGAAAAAACAAAAACGTTGTTAAGGAAATCGAACAGCAAGATTCAGACAGTGGTTATCAACAGGTTCCTGAGATTTTCATAGGGAATATAGACAGCAGTGACAAAGCCTGGGTCTAGGAGGTAAAAGCAAGCTGTGGAAACCAAGATTTAGGTCTTATAAAATTTAAACTTGACACAGCAGCTGATGTAACCATGATTCCAGTAGGAGTTCTTGGTGATTTTATTAAGACTCTGCCTCTAGGAAAGTGCAAATCCCCTGTGTTTAGCGCAAAGAAGAAAGAACGAATCAATATTTTGGGAACTTTAAGGCTAAAGCTTGAACATAAGGGTGTATCAGTTTATGATCTTGCGTATATTTCTGAGGAGATCACTGTTCCACTTCTTAGCAGACGTTCCTGTGAAGAGCTGAACCTGGTGAGGAGAATTTTTTCTGTAGATTCACATGATATTGACTGGGCTACTAAGTATCCTAATTTATTTCAAGGGCTGGGAAATATGAAAGGAGAGTACAAGATTGAAATGAAGGAGAATGCAGTTCCTTACGCTATATCCACCCCCAGGGTTGTACCAATACCTTTAAAAACCAAGGTGAAAGAGCAGTTAGACGATATGCTTGAGAAAGGAGTGATTGTTCCAGTTGAACACGCGACTGATTGGTGCGCACCAATGGTAGTTTGCGCAAAAAAGGGAGGTGGGGTTAGGATCTGCGTAGACCTATCCAAACTCAACAACAGTGTGAAACGTCGGTTTTATCCTATCCCAAAGATCGAACTTTCATTGGCCGAGATCGCGGGAGCCAAGTACTTCAGCAAGATCGATGCGAATTCCGGGTTCTGGCAACTGAACCTTGCAGAGGAGTCACAAGATTACGGTACACAACATTTATCACCCCTTTTGGGAGGTATAAATTCCGTAAGTTACCTTTTGGAATTACGTCCGCTCCTGAAGAGTTTCAGCGCCGCATGTCAAAAGCTTTAGAAGGGGCAAAGAACTGTTTAGTGCACATTGACGACTGTCTGATATGGGGAAGAACGAAAGAAGAACACGACGAGTGTCTTAGGGCCGTTCTAGAGAGAGTGCAAGCTAATGGAATCACCTTGAATAAGCAGAAGTCGGAGTTCTGCAAGAAGACTGTGACATTTCTGGGGTTTGTGCTGTCTAAGGACGGAATCAAGCCTGATCCAAGCAAGGTACAAGCGATTGTGGACTTACCAGCTCCAAGAAACGCTAATGAAGTACAAAGATTCATGGGCATGATCACTTTTCTGGCAAAATTTATTCCGAACCGCAGTGAGATTTTGGAGCCAATTACGAGCTTGTTAAAGACTAAAAACGATTTCTTTTGGGGACCAGCTCAAGAAAACGCTTTTGTCACAGTAAAACAGATTTTATCATCAGAGCCATGTTTGACTGTTTACGATCCGCAAAAACCCTCGATTCTTTCTTGCGATGCTTCAAAAAAAGGTCTTGGAGCGGTTTTACTTCAAGTTGAAGGAGAAAACAAGAAACCTGTGGCATATATATCTCGGACTCTTAACGCCTGCTGAAGAAAACTACAGTAACATTGAGAGAGAAGCGCTTGCGTGCACATGGGCAAGTGACCGTTTGAAATGTTTCCTGATGGGTAAAATGTACACAATTGAGACCGACCACAAACCGCTTGTCTCAATTTTCAAAACACAAAATTTGGACGAGCTCTCACCGAGGCTACAGCGGTTCCGAATGCGTATGATGAGATACGATTATCGCATGACCTGGACCCCAGGAAAAGACCTTGCCATAGCAGATCTACTATCAAGAAGTCCTATTCCGGCTGACGAAGATGGCGAATTGACCGAAGAAGTGGAAGCCTTCGTCCACGAAATCAGTCTGATTAGTATAAACACTACAGATGAAAATGTGACAAAGGTACTTCACTCACAAATGAGAGATCCAATCTGTGCACAACTTAAGTTACAAATTTTAGACGAATGGCCTGTAAAATCAAGTTTACCTAATGAGATTCAAGAGTACTTTAATGTGAAAGACGAGTTAAGTTGTATTGATGGGCTATTGCTTCGAGGAACTCGGATGATAATACCTCAAGAACTACGAGCGGAAATGCTCGAGAGGCTTCACAGTGGACACTTGGGAATCACAAAAACAAGGAAACGTGCTTTGGGAACCATGTGGTGGCCTGGAATTTCTCAAGAAATAGAAAGGAAAATCAAATCGTGTCCAGTGTGTATTCAGAACTCAACTAATCACAGTGAACCATTGATTCCGAGAACTGTCCCGGATTACCCGTGGCAAAATGTGTCTGTTGACTTGTTCAAACACGAAGACAAGTGGTATATGGTTATCGTGGATCACTACTCAAGATACTTTGAAGTCGAGGAAATGCATCGAATGAGGGCTTCAGATGTGATTCGGGTTTGCAAAACCACATTTTCACGTTTTGGAATTCCTCAACGTGTTTATTCAGATAGTGGGACACAATTTCACCATATTGACTCAAGTGAATTTAAATTGTTTGCAAAGGAGTGGGGGTTCTCCACATTCAGAAGTAGTCCCCACCACCATCAGGGAAATGGGGCAGCTGAAGCAGCTGTGAAAGTAGCAAAAGGGCTAATGAAGAAAAACAAGGATAAATTTGAACTTGCCCTACTTTCTTACCGGACCTCACCTCTTGAAACCGGCTTTTCCCCATCTGAACTTATGTTTGGAAGGAAATTAAGAGACAATCTTCCATCTACTTTGGTTGGAAATCCTGTGGAAAATAAGAATTTTCTTGAGAGGGAGAATAAGTACCAGAATAAGTACAAGATACAATTTGATAAACGACATGGAGCGAGTGGTTTAAGTGAATTAGAAGTTGGAAGCATGGTATGGATCACAGATCTACGTCGACACGGTAAGGTAGTCAGGAAATTGAACGAACCACGTTCCTACCTTGTGGAAACTGACAAGAGAACTATTCGCCGAAACAGGAAGTTCTTAGTTCATGCACCGTACTACGGAGGAGATGGAAATCTTTCAAACTGTTCATCCATGGTCCTTAATCGTCCATGCAACTCACGTGATCGTCCAGGAGCTGGCACAGTAACCCGTTACGGAAGGTCCATTAAGAAACCGAGGCGGTACTGAGGTTCATAAAGATGTGGACATCTTGAAGCGGGATGTTGTATTAAGTCTGTTCTTTTTATCATGTGTTTAAATATGTTTGTTGTCAGATGTTTTTGTAAACATTAGTTTAGTTTGAAAATAGAGTTTGTTCAAGCAAGATGTGTGAATAATATTTCTTGTATAAGAAATAGAACATAGAGTAAACAAACAAACAATAAATCTTCATAAATACAATTAGAGTTTTGTACATTGCTCAGAATTATATATTAAAAAGTTTTTATTAGCTCGCTTTCTAGTCCTGTACAAATTTTGCAATCAATTTTATACTAAGTTCCCGAAGAGCTAGAGACTTGAAACTTGAAACATAGCTCACAAATGGATGACAATGCAATATTATATAATTTAATTTAATTTTCATATTTCCCTTGGGCTACGCCCTGCCAGATTCTTCAGTTAATACAGATTCCGAATTTATAACTTTAATTGCAGTCAACCTATTGTATGCACGGCCAGGAGGTTATTAACAACCGCGTGCACGGCTTGAGGAACTGACATATCTGCGTCGAGTCCCCCTTTGTGGTGGGGGAAGGTTGCTGAAACGGCGCGCTTTTTATCCCAAATCTCCTATCTACCCGGTGTTCCAGTTGTGTTATATAGTTCGACTAGCTGTACCCGCAGGCTTAGCCCCGTTTAACTTCTTAATTTTCAAGATGAGCTCGTTCGCATGGCTCAATCACGTCCTGGTTGAAGTTCGTTCGCTACGCTCACTCACTTTAAGGTTGGAGCTCGTTCACTGCGCTCACTTGCCTTCAGGTTAGCTCGTTCGCTACGGTAACTCGCCTCCAGGTTGAAGTTCGTTCGCTACGCTCACTCACCTTTTGGTTGCAAATTAGCTGTTGTCATTAATGTAAAAGAGATAATATAGTGCTGCACCCTGTTGGTAATCCTTGTAACTTTAATGCTATTGAACATCATAGAACAGAACCAACTTGTTTAATTGAAACAGCTGTTAAGATTCATTAATTCCATTTAAATATGAGTACTCATAAGGTTAACATGGGAAACTCCAGAGCCACTGGGGCGGAGCCCGAGAGTCAGATCAGAATAAAAACAGCTTAGTTTTCCTATTTCATGCCTAAAGAATCAGTGTACCAAATTTCAGCCTCCTAGGTAAACGGGAAGTAAGAGAATTAGTGATGAGTGAGTGAGTGAGTCAGTCAGTCAGTGAGGGCTTTGCCTTTTATAAATATAGATGTATTTGACACATAAACAAAAACATAGGATCAGCTGTTGACTTTTGAATGCAGTAGATAAAGAAATAGCTGATAGCAAATCCACAGATATTAGAACAGAAACGGTATGAATGGTAAATATAATCAAATGACGACACTAGCTTGAGGTCCGTGACGTAGGAAGTGGTGAAGGAAGTAGTAATGGTGAGCAGTCTGGAGTCTGGAAACTGTTTATGACGATTAGATTTAGGTATCTGCATTCCTAAAATTCTATGGGAAGGGAGGAAAACAGGTCCGCGATGTATAGGAAGTGGTGAAGGAAGTAGTCAAGGCGAGCTGTCCGGAGTGTGGGAACTGTTTATGACGATTATATTAAGGTATCTGCAATCCTAAAAATGCTATTGGAAGGGAAGGAAACTGGTCCGCGACGTATGAAGTGGTGAAGGAAGTAGTAAAAGCGAGCTGTTCGGGGTATGGGATCTGTTTATGACCTTTAGATTAAGGTATTTGCAATCCTAAAATGCTATGGGAAGGGAAGGAAACAGGTCCGTGACGTAGGAAGTGGTGAAGGAAGTAGTAAAGGCGAGCTGTTCGGGGTATGGGAACTGTTTATAACGATTAATTAGATTAAGGTATCTACAATCTTAAAATTCTATGGGAAGATAGGGAAACAAGTCCACAACGTAAGAAGAGGTGAAGGATTGAAGGAAGTAGTAAGGTGTGGAGTGTGGGAACTGGAAACCATTTGTAGCAGTTATATTAATGTATCTGCAATGCTGAAATGTTATGAGAAGGGATGGAAGCATGCCCACGACATAGAAAATGGCGAAAGAAGTAGTAAAGGCTATCAGTGCAGAGTGTGGGCAATGTTTGTGGCAATTAGATTAACGTATCTAAAATCCTAAAATGCTATGGGATTGGGAAGAGAAGGAAACAGGTCCACGACGTAGGGGGTGGTGAAGGAAGTAGTAAAGAGGCGAGCAGTGTTGAATGTGGGAATGGATCAATGTATCTGCAATGCTAAAATGCTATGGGAAAGAGACTGTAGACTGTAGGTCAAAATGGTTATAAAGCACGAATCGATACATATTTCGATACATGCAATCGTTTGTAATAGAAATTTACAACTGAGTTGACAACAGCTGATTTTTACTCCATTTAGGCTAAAAACGATTTTTACTCCCTAAAGAGTAAAAATGCTACTTTAGACCAGCAAGGCATGCATTAAAAACAACTGTTTTTACTGCAGTATGACAAAAACAATATAATATGAGCCCTTGATGACTCTGCTCAATTTTGTGGATGCCTCTGCTAACGCCACCTAGTTATTATAACTAACAGTATAATTGAAGGATTGTTTGGAGAGATTTAGATTATTCCAGACAATTCACGACCGTACCGCTTGTCCCTGACCATTACGTTTATGATTTCTATAATATAAATTTCTAAAATTAAAATATCATCATATTTATTTCAATATTTTATACACAAAAGAAGCACACCTCTATAGAAACATAACGATTTTTTGGATCTCAGGTAAGTTTTTTCTAAGTTATACAAACTTAAAAAAATGTTATTGGCTTTTTTTTTATTTCTTTATTTTTTTTATTTTTTTTTAGAAAGACCAAATAAACCAAAACCTTAGTGAGCTGTTTATTGTATAATGGCCCTAAAAGTAAATGAATTTATAGCAAAAAATAGTTATAACAATAATATTGACCATTTTTAATATTCAGTTTTATGTCCAAGATGGTCATGATAAAATTTTGTGTTTTTCCATCAAAGATGCTCTATTAATGAAAAGTTACCAAAGATATTGCGCTGCCATGGCCATTTGAGTAAACTTCAAATTTTAATGAAATAAAAAAAATACCCCCGCTGCAGCAAACCTGCCGACTAAGCAAATTTCCATTTGCCTGGATTGATTTTCAATTAATCTATTAAATTAACAATCATGTTTAACGAGTACCTAGGTTAGCTGCTACAGGGAAACTAATAAAGTATGTTTTTTATATCAATAGCTTAGTTTGAAATAAATAAATTCACCAAGTTTGATCAAAATATATCCATAAACAAGCCAACTACAACATTTTACAATATTCTCCATAAAAATAACATGGGAATTTTAAATTAACAATTTTTTGAATTTTCTCCGTAACCAATCACTGTACAAAAAACACTTTGGTATACTAAATTATTTGTTTTTTTAAGCTCTTTATAAAGGTCTGGAGACAAATTGATAAATTTTGTGTTTAAAGAGTAACTTATTTTTACCCCATAAAACCCCGTTCCCATGGTCCGATCATGCTGGTACGCGAACTCATTCAAGTTTATCCGGCCTTACACCTTAAAACCGAATTTTATCAAAATCGGACAAAAATTACTCAAGTTAGTTTCCGGACGGACGCACATATATATATATATATATATATATACCCCCTAGATATACATATATAAAAAATTGAACAAATGGTGTTTTTGGCCTCTGGGGACATCAAAATTAATAAGCAAATCGGTCCCGGGCCTAGGTCTTACCATGAGACCTACGGTAATAGTTACTTCCCTATAAGGAAATTCGGTAAAATAATAAAAGTTTCAAAAAATTGATCAAGAAATTTTTAAAGTGCTTTTCCTGAAAACGTACGTTTCAAAATTTTCACTCACATCTATATTGATAAAAGAGGAAGTTTGTATAGACCTATATATATATATACAGGGTGAGTTTTAATTGTCCCCCCCCCAAACTTTTTCTACATTTTTTCAAATATCAATCCCAGACCACTTCCAAACATTGTTGGGTAGTAAGTACTTCATTTTGACGAGGTGGTCATTTCCGGCCGCCATCTTGGATCCGCCATATTGGATGCAAAATTTTTTTCCAAATGTAAAGGTGGGGTTGTGACCCATTATTTCGAATTAAATTTTTACTCTAATTACAATGCCGCAAACCGTTTTTAAAAATCTTGATTCATTCTAAAGTTATGAGGGCTTTTTAAAACTTTATTTTTAGCCCATTTTAACACTGTGCATTTACAAACTAAGACCATAATCTCAAAATAGTGCTAGATAAAGATAAGTATACACTACCAGTAATTGTCGACCTATTTTCACTTGGTTATGATTGATGTATTTTTTTCGGCCGCCATCTTGGATCCACCATTTTGAAATGTGATAAATTATTTTAAATATGAAGGGGATGTTGTGACCCATCATTTCGAATTACTTTTTTAAGCTAAACTCAATGCCGCAATCCATGATTTGTTATCAAGTTTTGTTTATGAAATATTGCAATTTTTTTGTTAAAAATGTCAATATTTCAAAATCAAAAAATTAAATTGAAAAACGGATCATGGAATTAAGTTCAGCTTAAAAAAGTAGTTCGAAATGATGGGTCACAACACCCCCTTCATATTTAAAATAATTTATCACATTTCAAAATGGCGGATCCAAGATGGCGGCCGAAAAAATACATCAATCATAACCAAGTGAAAATAGGTCGACAATTACTGGTAGTGTATACTTATCTTTATCTAGCACTATTTTGAGATTATGGTCATAGTTTGTAAATGCACAATGTTAAAATAGGCTAAAAATAAAGTTTTAAAAAGCCCTCATAACTTTAGAATGAATCAAGATTTTTAAAAACGGTTTGCGGCATTGTAATTAGAGTAAAAGTTTAGTTCGAAATAATGGGTCACAACCCCACCTTTACATTTGAAAAAAAAATTTTGCATCCAATATGGCGGATCCAAGATGGCGGCCGGAAATGACCACCTCGTCAAAATGAAG